ACGAAGTTCTACGTTTTTACTGACTGACTGACTGACTGACAAAGTGGAAGTAAATGTTCTTAAACATGAGTTAAATGATGATTGGTTATGAAAACAAAGTCAAATTGAATACTTTATTTGACATTTAAGAAAATAATAAATGGGTTTCATTTATTCCAGATAGAAATATCTTATACATACATGAAAAACCATTCTGTTCATAATTAAAATAATTCTACTTAAAAACACTCGAACACTTCATAGTAGTCCAGCAATGACTGCATTAAATTAGCTTTTAAAATGTCACTTAGCAGAATTATGTTCAAAATATTAACAAGTGGATTATGATTTAATAACCTTAATATGACTTATTTTTTGGTAGTATTTTAGTGGCCAGAGATCCGACTCCGATTGAATCGTATGAATGATTGTTATTGAAGTATACACGTCACCAATCCTTGTATGTAATCACCGATTTAACTCTCGTTAGTGTATAACGGAATTAAATAAGTCAAATACGAGAATGAATTTCGAATACGTATATTTCATGCAATCGTTGATCCAGACAAACGATCAGAGACATAAAACGAAGATAAAGAACAGAAGGGAACAAAATGAAGCGCAATAGATAAGGCATGTAAGCCAACTTGACTTATCCAAGCGTTAATCGATACTTATAGCCCAAAAACATAAGTTACAGATATATGATGAATATAATAGGAAGTGCACACACATACGCTCATACAAAAACAGTCAAGGTTGATAAGCAAATAATTAACAGGGTCGGAATGTGACTCAAGAATAATGAAAGATTGGCCTGTCTGGAATCTAGAATAAGCTATGTGGGCTTGCATAGCAATACAGTATCTCACATTTTCAGAAACAAGTAATAACAGCTGAAACTGAACCATGTTTCTGCTCAAATAAATAATGCTGTTGATGAGGCGAGAAATTCGGGATATGTATAACGTTCAGTGGAATATAGGTATTAAAAAAAACTGATTAAACTTAGATAGGACAAAAGACGTGTTATGAATATCGAAGCTAACCATTACCATACTAAGCAATACAATTTTAATCTGGTTGCTTTAGAAATTCAACAAACAAGCTTTCTTAATCTGTGCATTTAGCGAAAGTAATTTTAAGATTTATGTCAATCTGTCAAAACCTTTTTAATGTCATCAATAATAACTTCACTGTATTTTTTAATGGTTCGGTATAACTGCAAAACTCTGATAGATAAAATTAATAAATAACCATACAAAATGTTCACTTTATTGTGTCACTAAATTCAACTCAAGTAAACTAAAATACCTGTCACAAGAAATGATCAAATGTTAGATAAAGCTGAAAAAGGTAAACATTATCGAAGTCATGTCACTTTTTGATCGCTGAATATTTGAATATGAATAATTTATAGAGTAATCATTGACTTATGCCATGTTTAACCTCTTCAGTTAAATTATATGAATTAAGTGCAGATAAATGCGTGACATATGTGTTAGCCGACTTTTAATCTCTATGATTACTATTTTTCGGAACTTGTGTTTTTCATTTCCATAGTTAATTTGTTTTTACTTAACAATTCACATGTTTCTCCATTATATTTTAGAAACGAATAGCATGTCGATGTACATTGTGAACTGGTATCATAAAATCACTAAACTAACGAAAATGAGATATTCCGTTAGGATGCTCTACTTTTTCGAATAATCAATTAACACTAGGTTAGAAATATTTCACTAAAGATGTTACTCAATTTTTTAGGACAATTAGTCTCACAACTGAATGATAAATATTTCTTATTATGAAATGACTAGTTTATTGCAATTTTTGTTATATAGCCACTTACATAAATGAAATAACATCTCAGTAAACTATCGTTCATGACGATTTATTAAAAATAATCGTCTCTATGCTTCACATCCAAATATCTTGGTTTCTGGGATCGATTGGTAAAGAAAATATTCGCTGTTAGGTTTCATATAATTACATCCAGTAACTTGAGAGTAGTTTTCTCCAGTTTGATTATTAGAGATTATGAGATCATGTTACTTACATAAATGTATAATTTAATAATTCTACCTTGATGAATATTTTCAACTAAAGACTGTTTTTAGTTGCTGATCCGAAATCAAACCATGTTTGAAAAAATAATTACATAAGATTGTAATGAATTTGATAATGATAAAAGGTGTGAATTAAAACGGTAAAAAATTTAATTATTGATAATTACTCGATAAATCAAAAAGGTCAACAAGAGTTATAGGAATATTCAATCAGGTGTTTAGTAAGATTATTAGACAATTATTTTCCATTTCATTATTAACAGTATAGATTAATGAACAACAGACTTTTATGAGATGCCAATATAATCTAGATGGATATCAAAATCAGTTATTTAAAATCAAGTAGTCTCGCCGCTTCTAATCATTTAATTGGCTTTGTTCCAGTTTAGTTTGTTTATGAATAGAACCAATAAGTATCCATCTGTGCAACCATTTAAAACTTACTGTACATAATTTCATCAATTTAATTAGCAATGTTATTGATTCCGATAGTTTAACTACATAGTGATTAGCTGAGTAATATCAGCATTTTAGTTGACAAGGAAAACCCCAATTTATGAAACAAATCTCAATACGAGTAATCAGATTATATTTTTTCAAAAACCAAATAAACGATAGCATTCATTGAGTTAAAAATGATAATTTATGATTGAAAAGTATTCGAATTTCTAAACGAAGAATTTCAGTCGACAACTTAACAAAACATAAGCACAAATTTGACTTCCTGAAGTTCTCATAGCTATAATAATAATTCTTTTAATTGAAATGAATTCAAACAGAGATTTACAATTCATTCACAAATAAATAGAGATAATATAAGATTAAATTCACCCTGAAATTAAAGAAGTTATCTTATTATGATATCTTATAAACGAAGGTGATTAAACATTAGACAATTCTAGTCTGGTGGTTGCGACATTAAATAAGGGTAAAAATGTTTTCCAATTAAGCTTATCACACCCACATAATATCTAATTACTGTTATCTGGCCTGTAAATTAACAACAATGTTTTCATGTTTATTAAGTTAGACGTTTAGATTTGTCTTCAAAAAGACTAATCAACACCTTTTCAAAAGATCTACAGGTTTGATTCGAATCAGATTATGAAACAGGGTTCCCCTAATTTTGTCTATACAACAACACAGAGATCTTGTTTTTTAAATAAACATGTTACTTTTTTATAATTTGCCTCACTCCGTGAGAATCACGAGAAGGAAAGTAGGCCAACAGAAGTTTTTATCTAAAATGTTAACATGTTTGGTTGTCTATAAGAAAGGTCAATCTAGCGGTGAGGACCATTATAATAGACTGTCACACGTGTCTTGTTGACTAATCAACAAAAATGTCTGTATGTTCTATCCGGTTACATAACACATGAGGTCTTCTTTAATATTTGAGTAAATGAATTGACGCATTTATCAATAATCATTTTGATACTTTATATTAATTGAGATACGGATGGTCAATTAGTTTTTTATCACAAATAAATAATAGATAAGGGTCAAATAACTTGAAAACAAATATCCTTTTCAAAATTGACCAGTTTTGATAAGTAAATTCCAATGTATATGATCTACAATCCTAAATTGGGATGCAAATTAAATCTTACTCTATCAACTAGTTTTCATTACCAGACTGTCTTTATTTCATCCGTGTGTCATAACCAGTTAATATCAGTAGTTTGGTTTATTAAATGCTTAGTTAGTCTTCAACTAACCATTTTTCAAGTTCTACGTTTCAGATATTTCCTTTCTCTCTCTAACACAAGTTATACACTAAACAGTCAAAGGCCAGACTTTACAACGTAAAATAGGTTATTCGGTTGGAAGAACTACTGTCAAAATGTACGAAGAAGTATTGGAAAGATGCATTTAATCATTTTGATTATGAAGGGTCGGGATAAGAATATAAGAAGTTTCTGTTAATTTACGTTTTAACAAGTTTAGAATAGTGTTCATCTATGACCCCTGTGGGCATGAAAATATGCATAATCAGTTAATGTAATACAGATTCTTAAAGTTGATCCAAAGTGTAATACGATTTAGAAAAGTGGCACTTTGGCAAAACTATGTAAATCATTACGTTGTATAACTGTTAATCCGCTGAATGTATTGATAAATTTACGTGTACCTGCCAAAGCAACTACATTGGCCAGACGGAAAGGAGAGCATATGTAAGGTATTTTGAGCATGTTCCAAAAAGCCTTAGAACAAGAAAAAGAACGAGTATAAACAATGCAATTTTCAAACATCTCTTTGATATAAGACATCAGGTAGATAACATGCAATATTTCGAGGTGTTTAGTAAGCAGCCAAATTCCAGTTTGCCATAGCGATTACTATCATGCTTTAATAACCTGATTTTTATGTTCAAAAGGATATGATTATTATTCTTTACTTGCCTTGGTGACAATTATTCCTTCGTTGCATCTTAAACTTTTTCTTGTATTTATTACATCATTAAGTTTTTATTTCAATTATCTTCCGGGTTAGTGATCTCATTTTATTAACTGAGCTTTGCTCACTTCATTCCTATCAGCGTTTACTCATTATGTAATCACCTATTTCTGGCTGTTTGAACTATTGCCCCAATCAATGTTGTAGAATTTTCTTTTACATAAGGTATATATTTACAACATTCAGTTCAGTAACATTATTTACACCCTTACTAAACTAATGTTTTCAACATAACCCATTTTATAATTATGATTCTTATGTATTACAGGTTGTAAGCTATTTATTTATTTAAACACATAAACATAGGTACAAGAAGGCACCAAATAGATATGCGCCACATAAATCATTTGATTTGTGTGAGCACTAGGATACTGCACGGTTACCCAAACCGAAGCAGGTCGTAATCAGCTGACTGATATGTGAGTATTGTAAAAACAAACAATTAATGTCATTTCCTTTCATCAACTACATGAGTAACGTAGAAAAAAAGACAAGGAAAATACAAATAATCATGTTATTCAATAAATTTTCTTATGTACAGAAACAAGGAAAGTATTATTAAAAATGTATAAATTATCTTATATGAGAAATTAAAAAAATTTAATATTTATAACTCTATCTGTTAAGTACAATTAAATCATCATCGTCATCAACATCATAATAATAATAGTAGAATCAAAATAGTTTACAAGGAGATATTTAACTATACTATCTTACTTTAAAAACATAAAAATCTGGAAATCTTTGTACAATAAATAGGTGTTTATGAAATTAATAAAAGGCAATAACAACTGTATATCATCTGAATGAAATAAAAACAAATTAAGAAAGACTCAATTATAATGAATGTTTGCGTGAAAAATTTGAATCTGTATGAGAGCATGGTTTAATTTTAAATTCAACAAGTTCACAACCACGTATAAGATTTCGAATTTCTTCTACATCGAGATTATCGCATGACAAACCTTGAACTTCTAAAATTCTATCACCAACATGAAATACATCCCAAAGTTTAGCCGCACATCGAACACTTCCCAACCGAGTCACATATATACCTGAAAGACAAAAAGATACAATGAGAGAGGAATTTGATATTACGTTTAAGTTTATTAGTTGAGTAAAGTAAACTAATGTACTGACTGTCTTCGTTACAAATCAAAAGAAAAATATAAAAGCTGCAAACGATATCAGTTTGCACTAAATTGACACGAACACGACAGTAATAGTAAAATGACAAAAGAATCAGTGAAATTTATCGAAATTTACCTTTAGAGTCACGAGCAATAAAAAACCCGAACTGCCCATTTATTGATGAACGTCTCAATGAGATCTGAATAGAGCCATCAGGATTTTTACGTACAACTTTACAAGTAAGTTTGTAGGGTGTAGCTTCCGGGTTTTGTTGTATATTTAGATCAGTTGACTGGTCTGGATTCCTTGGAAGGGATGTATAATTGCAGTTATTGGACTCTCTGGTGTCAGATGGCGTGGAAGAACTTTTGTTTATTCTGTCAGCGCTGATTGCTCTCCTCAGATGGCTAAACTTTCGTTTTAAATTTTGAAGTACTTGAACAGTAGCAGAATTACGAAGACCCAATCTGTAATTAAACAAGTAAAAAATAATTTGATGATTAGTTTTTAAATGTCTACCATAAATCTAAAATGAGATAAAAATAAATAACCTGAATTATGAACATTTTATAATCCTTTGTTTACATTCAGTGCGTGTTACTAAGCTGTTTGACCTGAAATATTGATTTCATAATCACAAGCATTTGCAACAAAACAAACAATAAAGGTTAGTTGATAAAATAATGCGCAAGTATAGCAACAAATTATAAACCTCAAGCGAACCAACATTTGTAATGTCATTTCATGAAGATGACGAACTGTCTGTCTCAAGAACTCAACTTTGATTTGTTGTTTAGTTAAATAATTTACTGTCTATTTTAAACGTGCTAACAAATATGTGTGTTCGAACGTTTCAGATTTATGATATACAAAACGTTATAACGTACCCTGTATGCCGTCTACCTCTAGGTTTTTCACAAGCAGAAGTCTCTGAAAATAAATTAAAAAAAGACAATTATATATATCTTGTCGCATATGACTGGCAAACAATCGTTAGGATTTATATAATACTTACGATTATTGTGAGTAGGTGAAGTTTGTGTTTCCACAGTTCTTGATGAAGTGAACCTTGTGTCGGATTTCATTTCCCAAGGAAGTGAAACAGAAGAGTAACGAATTGGAAGCTGAAGGGGGAAGCCGCTTGGCATGGGAACAGGACAAATAGGAGCCAAATGCTTCTTAGAATTGTGTACATTATCTTCATTGATGTCCGCATCAAGTGCATTCTTTCTCAGATTGTACCTGGGATGAGCTTTGACCTCAGCACCCATTGTCAAGCAAATTGTATCCTTGTCATTTCTCAGCTTCACAGACTTTTGGCTTTCAGTATAACGTGACTGCTTAGCTTTTGTATCGATTTCACCAGAGCTTGATTGACGTTTGCGTGTTGCACCACCAAACGAAAAAATAGAATCCACAGATGATAAACTCGTATTCAAATTACACGATATAGTAAGCGGAGAATCAACAGTAATATCAGGTGCTTTCACATTATCAGTTTCTACGTATGACAGTCTGTTGATACTGTTGCGAATAGGGAAATGATGACGTATGTCAGATTTCTGATTACTAAAATTTTCTTTATCATAACGGCATGATGATGATCGTAAAGGCATTGGTAATATTTCAGTAAAATTTTCAAATGTTTTAGTTTGAGACAGTCTTGAAGTGGCTACACGACACAATGGTGTAGACAATGTATGATCAACTGGCAAACTGAAAAGGAACGTAAAGCTAATCGGTGAGAACATTTTTATACTATTTTTATAACAGAGGAATAGTTAAAAGCCTATGAAAATGTGGGTAAAGGACACACCCCTCACTCATTTCGCCCAATCATCGGGATAGGGGATCATGAATGTTATGATTAATATCCTTAATTTTGGATAACGTTACGTAATCACATGAAAATACCAATACGTAATACCAATCTGACCCTCCTATCACTTAACTATGCATATAGGTCATAGCTATTATAATAATCCATAAATCCCAAGATATTTAAGATCAGTTCATTTTCTCATCCATATTTCCAAAACTAAAGAGATGCTTGGTGGAGTTACTTTAATTTGTCAAAATTTGAATGGACGATTGTCTCTCCCTGTCTAAAAATTTTATTCATTTTAGACAAATAGAATGACAAGAAAAAAGCCGATCATTATGGATATCACATGATCATTTGGATGGTGGAACGGAGCTAATGGGTGAAGATTAATGATAAATGGTGACTCGAACTAGTCAAACCAAGTATGGATAAGCCTTTCAAATGATTACAGACGGTGTCAATTCGTCTAGCCTATTCGCATATGGTAAGATCAGAAAGAACTGAATTTTTAATATAGTTTATTGAGAACATGGGACGAACTAAAGTACGCAATTCTAAAATCCAAGCACCGGAATGTTTAAACCTTTTGAATTCCAATACAATATTCAGCAACTCGTTTAAGAGAAAAGGTACGTATCAGAGTATGTCATAATTTTTAAAATTAATTCACTACTTGTGAGGGGATCAACTAAAGATTTCATGAACAAAGTTCCTTTTTCTTATTATTATACGAAAACGTTTTGATGTTTCTATGTTCGTGATCCCTTCAATCAGTCAATGTCATTTTGACTAATATTTATACTTATTTCTACTTTATAACTGAGTGATGTATGAAAGCATCAAACTTTTGAATGTCCATAGGTTCAGATAATTAAAGTGACCTATTGTGTCATTGGAAAAAAAGGGAATTTAGCGAAGTAAATTTTCTTTTTGACGAAATCATTTACTTAAGTTGTACATTCATATTTATAGCTGTATATTTATATATATTTATATATAAAAGGATAATAAAATGATTGCATCATAAATGGATTGGAGACACTTATTATGAAACATTTCCGATTATTTTACTGAACGAAAACAAATGTAAACTTTTAAGATGTAGTGATTTAACTTTTGCTGAATTGCTTATTTTATAAAATATTCGCATGAACCAATTTCCAAACAGCGACTGTCAAACTTGTCACCTAATTCCTGTAATTTAAATGAACACCCTCTGCAATACCTTAACATTATCTTTTTCAGTGTACAACCTACTCATAAATAACTTTTCTTGATGGATGTACTTTACTAAGTTAATGTTGAATATTGTCAAAATGTTAAAACTTAACAATAATAATTATATAACGGAGCATCTGAAAAAAAAATACTGTTTAGCTTACCGTGGCTTATCTTCACAATCTGTACTGGTTATAATTGTCCGTTTCATTGGTAAAGTCGAAGTAATATTGTTAACATTTGGTAAAACGATAGAAATTGCCCTTAAAGGTCCACGATTATTTTGTTTTTTATTTCTTTGCATTATTCCAATAAACGTCCTAAGTGAAATTAATTTGGTAAATAATCCAGTGAATGAAATTAAATTCAGATTTTTTTCTGATTCATCGCTTATAAAGCATTGCCTGTACCCACATACCAGGTGATTAAAAAAACAACCAATAGAAATCGACTTAATAGGCACAAGTTTCTCTCCTTAAATTGTATTGGCTGACACGAGTTTTGGCTTTGATTGTACTAAACTAATTTTTAATTATGTTACTAGCGTATGGATGAGTTTATTAATATCATAATTTTTACATATGAAAAAGATTTCATTGTTTGTTGTTGTTTTTTACCTAAAATCACACTTAAGCGGGTACACTATAATTGCCATTTTTTTAAATTAACATAGTCTAAGCAACTAGATCACAACAATTTATCAATAGAATAAAAAATTGAAATATTTAAGTTTCACAGAGCTAAAAATATATGGTTTAAGATTATTTTCAGAAGGAGGTTCGTGGATATTATATTAATTTAATAATTATAATCATGAGTCAATTGAAGTTAGACCACCATGGAAAATATGAGAGAATTGGACGGCCATTTGTCCGATTATGGGACTTATCAGCAGTACGCATCCATGATCCTGCCTCGTGAGATTCGAACACGAGACCTATCGGTCTCGCTCAATTTCGAGGTTGAGTTTAAGTCAGACATTAACACCATTGGATAACGGCCGTCTCAGTGGTCTAGAGGTTAGGAATCATTATGAATCATTAGTTAAAATGTTCGTAAATGTGGTTCGGCAATTTGAGACTTCCTGTAACAATTAATGTTTGAACTGTTAAGCTTCACCCTCATACCATAGATGCTGTTTTGAATTATCTACTGAGCGAATGAGTAATTGATTACTAAACCAATAACCAAAACTAGGTAACTTGCCTATGGAATTAATTTGATGTCATATAGGCCCCCGCTTATGTCCATATAAATACTTAGCATCAGGAAAAATGCACTTTCACATCGAATTAAATAAACTAGCCACTAAAACGTTGATGATTGCCAGAATACGATTAGGCAAATCACAATTAGTGAATTTAAATTCTCAGTTATTTTTAAAAGTCAATGAGGATTTCAAGAATATTTTTTAACATTTCTTTTCAAAGCTTTGCTTAAATTTGTGCTTCTATTTATTTTTAATGCAAAGACTTCTTGTGCATGAATACAAGTGAATCAAGAAGAACGAAAGCGTACGAAGGATATATACTGTAACAACAAAAAACTAAACTGAATTTCCAAGAAATGTCAAAATTAAAAAAAAACATATTTAAGAGCTACATATATAGTAGCGTAAAAGTATTTAACGAAGCACAAAAAAATTGTAAAAAAGTTATATACTTGGTGGACAAATCTTAGAGATCATTTATAACCTAGTGAATCAATCAATGTTAAAAATGGTTCGTTATAGAGATTCGGTATTTCATTAGAAAACGTAAAGACATAATCATGGTGATTATAACATTATACTTTAAAAATAAATATGTTTGAATAAATGTGTCAGTACTACAGAACAAACATTGACACGATGAAACATTTACATATGTCTTAGTCCTTTTCTTGTGCTTTTCTAATATACACGAATTCATATACACCATTCTCATAGATCAAATTAATTCACTGGGTGCAAGCACATTTTTTTTAGTAAATGCATAGTCAAACAAAGAACTATCCTACACATAGACCTAATCTGATACCTAACTCCCACTGATTCAAACTACTGATCCTAACAAGAAACAGTCTGCTACACTCCAATACTTTTCCAATCCACATATGACTAATAACGTATACAAATACTAACACGTGAATTCATTGATGAATCAGATCAGACGCGTGCATATTGTGCATACAATACTAATTGAATATTCCAATTCCATTTGTTAAGTACTAGTGTACTAGTGTATACTTTATCAACTTGAACATCAAGTTATGTTTATTTCATGTCAAAAATTTACAATTTCCTCTATAGACAGAATATTGTATGTGCATTACCCCTACCCACCCACCCACACACGCACACATACACACTGATTTGTGGAATAAAGTGAGAGGGAGGGTGGAAAGCACAATTACGGTTTAACACAAAGTTGATTTACACAAGACAAATTCTGGATCAAGCATCACTCCACATCATAAACAAATGAATAGAACAAATGGAAAAATAACATAAACAATTTTAGATCAGACCGTTTATGAGAGGATGGGAAAATCATACACAAATATTGCACTTGGTGTTCTAGTTCAAATTTGCATTTGTCTATCAGATGCAATTGAACGAAAGCAGAATTGTCTCACGAACATTATGTTAATAAGATGGTATTCGGCTAGTTGATCACATAAAACAACACACGTACGATATTCGTTTCTAACACACAAGTTCGTATAAAGAGAAGATAGGTTTCGAAATTGTATGTTTATCCTGCAGACGAATGCAACAAAGTTGATGACCATAATCTGATCCTGGTTTCGGAACCATGATATACACTTTACCTATTTTGGTCACCCAATCGATATTGACTGGTACAAGTTAACCAGACCGCATTCATTATATTAGGCGGATTGTTTCTGTTATGTATCATCGCAACTGATCAAAACAAAAGCCATCACACAAGTTTAGGTGCAGACAATCATTATGATTTATGTCTCAGTGATTTCGACAATCTCAGAAAATGAACATCCCAATATTCACGTTCAGCTACTAATGCAACTTTTCAAAACACGGCATTTTGACACAGGACGTGAACAAATGATGATGAGACTGAAATCTGAGGACCTGGAGAGGACTGAGCACAACTGATTACTGGTGAATTGATCATCTGATTCACGTTGTTCCACGTATACTAGCAATATTCAGCAATATTGTGAAATTCTTTGGTAATTAAATTTGGCAATATAATTTGTTTTGAAATTGACTCGAGTTATTGACTCATGAAGTGATTAGTGAAATGTTCAATGTCTATTTGATAAGTGGAATGAATTGTAGTGTAATATCATTCAAGTGATTTTCACACATCTGTATAAAATATTAACAACAAGAACACTACATGAAAGTGGCACTGTGATGGAAAAGTGCATCATTTAAACAAGACATGTTTAGCCATTCAACCGTAAATGTGAACATGAAATAAAATCTCTGCTAAGTAAATCGATGTGTTCCATGATTTTTACTAAAGTAGTGAAGCTTAAAGTTTGGTAGGAGAAACATTCAGCTCGTTGTAGGTAAGAAGTGGTTAAATGTGCTCTGGTGAATAACGGAATGCACACATGACACATGAAAAGTTTATTACAAGTGGTCTCTTTCCAGTGTAACATTTTGATTAAGTGAAAATACTTGTTGGATGGTGAAAACACATATTTCCCATGAACTAGGATGACTGTAAATGGGAAATCAAACGAAAGCATTCTCCCTTTCGCGTCATTGTCGACTATTAAACTGAATGTGGATTGAATAAAAAAGTTAGTTGAATAGTGAGAAATAGATCCTATAAAACTAAGAGTTTGCTCTGATTAAACAATCATCAACTAGTCTATTTATTGTGAAAATCCTTCGAACTTGTCAAACACATTCCTCTCATCGACTCGCTTTATTCAGTCTATTTCGTGTACAGTCATCATTTGATCACTATATTTCAGTGAAATTGTTTGACTGGTGAGTTATCTATCATTTTCTAATGAGTAATAACTATACACCATATTAATGTGCCCCACAACTTGATCAACATTCATCATATGCCATAGCATCGAGTCTATTTGTCTCCAACAGTAGCGGTTTACTCAGCTCGTTTCATTTCACTTATTTCATTCTGAGATAATCTCTCGATTGAAAGGAATTATTGATAATAATTACTGAATTGAATAACTCCGAAATGACTCACCCGTGCGATAATAAACTTTCAATAATTATACGTTCAGTTTTTCGATAATAATCATAATAATTTCATCATTCTTATTATTCCCCATAGATAATTTAATTGATTTGAACGGGATGATAATTATACACTTGTGCAAATGATAAACAAGTGAACACTAATTAAATCAAATGTGATTGAGGTGTAGTCACAAATTGATATTCATCTGAACATGGTAGTTTGTGTTGAGAAATAATTACGCAACAAAACGTTTGTTCGCAAGCATACAGAGTCTGTAATGACTTGTTTATAGAGTGGGAATGAGAATGAGAATGAGCAATTATAATATACTAATTTCACAGAACAATTTGATTTTTACAATATGGCATCGAACGGAAATCGTTTGCCGTTTCGATACTTAACAACACACCACAGATATTCTTTGTTTAAGACAAGTAGAAATCGCTCGCACATTTGTAGACTTCGCTATCGAAAATTCAGAGATTAGATTTGCTTGATTCTTAGTTGATATTCGAGTGAGAAGTATTACAAACTACTTGAATAATACGGCATAATCGCATTTAATGTAAACTTCTGTTCTATGGTTTTGCTCTTTACACTTAAGAATCATCGATTTCTGTCCTTTCGAAAAGTCATTTCATGAAAGTAACAGGTGGAAACACATTACCGATTCCATCAGTTAAAATTATTTCCTGTCTGAATTTCAGTAGTTCCAGTGCAAATATAATGGAATGTTGATTCGTTCATATTTCCCCTATTTATTTATTTTTTTACTTAGAACAAGTCCCATAGACTATCAGATAAATCTATGATATTAAATCTCATCAGTAAATATGTATTTTTATAGAAACATGAAAGTTGATTACTTTCACTGAATAGCAAATGCCTAATATGTATTTAGTTGGTCGTAATGTGTAGAAGTAAATGTTGTGATTCTGACTTGAAATACGGTTTCACTTATCACAATACTCCGCAACAGGTACTTTCTGTTCGAGACAACTTGTTAGCGAATTAAGTCGTTCAATCAATCTCAGACTGACTATCGCTAATCTTAAACACATGTACTAAAACTACGTCCTTTTTCACGAACTAAAATATGACCTGACGATGCACACAAAGCTACACATGGAAATATTGGGAAACCACATGTCTATAAATCGTTCATTAACTGTAGTAATTTAGAGGAAAAATCCGTGAAGAATCTCGCTTGAA